ATGTTTGCCAGGCCGTTGCGCCAAAGTACCAATGCGGTATTGGAGAGATTCAATAACGAGAAGCCTCTTCGACTACTGCGGGGTGCGCAACCTTTGAAAGAAAAGGTGCACAAACCAACAGTAGAAGAAGCCTCTAGAGCCTCCAAGGAAAACCGAACACTGCTTACGAGCAGGTTCGAGAGAATTTGGGAGGATATGAGAGAGAAGTCTCGTCAAGAATTGATAAGAGCAGCGTCGAAGCTACCGGTCCAGAAGATTGTCGTTGGTGATTGGGTGTGGATAAGTAAACCCAAGCAACACAAGTTGGATATTCCTTGGCAAGGCCCCTATAAAGTTGAGCAAGTTCAAGGAGTATCTGTGGTTGTTAACGCCAAAGGCAAGAAGATGACAGATAGTGTGGCTCATGTTCTTAAAGTGGTATCACCTAATGAAGGCGGGTGGCTGAATGTTAAGGGTAAATCTCTTATTTCGGTGAACACCTTGATGTGGTTTGGTGATAATGAAGCTGGCTTGGTGATCGATGGCAGAGGTAATGATCATATCTTACATATGGTCAAGATTAGCCAACGATCTATGGATGAGTATGAAGTCCTTCTACTATATTGGGATGAAATGAAGGGCTCTGTATGTGGTTTCCCTTTATCCAATCCCAATGGCGCGGAGGGTGACAGCAGTCGGTTCAAGCCTTTACTGCGTATGCGGTCCTTTTGTCCACAATTTCGAGACAAGGAGTGGGTAGCACTTAATGTTAAACATAACACAGGGCTATTGACTAGAAGATCGACATTGACGCTGAAGAAGTGGCTTGGTGCAACCACCCACTTCGGGAGACAAGAGTCTTCCGCGAGCCGAGAGTGTGGGGAGGGTACCACTTTTGGGCGAGCGCTAAAACCAATTTCCGGGCATCCCTGGCCGGAACCTATCGTGCTTCGGTTTGCCCATTGCTTACGCGATTTTCGCTCTCCACCGACAGATTTCCTTCAGACTTTCCAAATACTCTCCAACACTCACAGAAAGAGGAAATCTACTCAAAAGACTCTTCTGTACGCATTGAGGCCTCTGAAATAACTTAAAAACATCGTTTTTTAGCCGTCTCTCGCCTTGCTCTCTTACCTCTTTCCTGTCTCGCTCTGAGCAACTCACGTCTCCTGTGGAAATCCGGATCGCCCGAGCCGAGTAGAAATTGCTCGCTCAGTCATCGAAGAGCGCGCGCCCACTCACAACAGACAGTGTCACAAGAGACAGTCTACCGCCAATGCAGTCTCCTCGTCTAGGATATTACGATTGGTCATCTTGTCATTTTTCTCTTTATACCTTCCACAGTGCCTCTTGCCCGATAAGCGCGCTGTACTTGGCAGTCTGCAAACCCTAAGTAGCTCTTGTAATAGGTGTGCTTTCAGAATACGACGTGTTTATTCACAAGTAATGCCTCAAAGCCTTTTCGAAGGAGACATGCGTTATATCTGACATATCATTTCTCAGAGTGATCTCGTGGGAGTGTCTGGCAAAGTATCC